CTCTCCCCTCTCCCTCTCCCTCTCCCTCCCCTCTCCCTCTCCTCTCCTCTCCCTTCCCTCCTCTCTCTCTCTCTCTCTCTTCTCTCTCTCTCTCTCTCTCTCTCTCTCTCTCTCTCCATTTCCTCCCCTCTCCTACAAGTGTTCTACAATGTTCATTGTTCATGCCCATTTCAGTCTTAGCTATGCAATCCGACCCGCCCCTGACGCCCTGTCTCCGTCCCTTCCCTCCCACACAGGTGTCGATTCAGCAGTCGGAGAAGCGCCGCGCGCCGTCCCGCTTCTCCATCATGGTACGCCGCTCGATGCACGTGGCGGCTGCGGCCGTGGGCGTGGCGGCGGCCGCCGGCCGACCCCGACCGCTGCTCGACTCCACGGTCGGCTCCGAGGATACGACCGCCGGCGACCAGGAGCATCAGGTGGGTGCCGGGGCGGTGGTGAGATCCTAGTTCGCACGGCGACCAGGAGCATCAGGTGGGTGAGCGGGGGCGGTGGTGAGATCCTCGGACACCGGTGGGCGGGTGGATTGAATACGTCTGTGTCTGTGTTTGTATCTTGTTGTGTCTGAGTGTGCCAGTCTAGTGCGTATACATTTGGTGAGATGGTGTATATTGGTATGCCACTGAGCTTCTTTATGATACAATAGCGTCACTGTAGTCGAATTGGTAAGCTTAAGCTGAACCTGTGACTGCTTCCACCTGTTTGAGGTCTGTATCTATCTTTCTGTCTGTTTATATGTCCGCCTGTTGGCTCTGTCTGACCGTCTGACCCTCCGCCCTGCGCCCTCCCCAGAACCTGTTACAGCTGGTCGAGTCACTGCGGCACCAGCTGGTCGAGAGCCGCCGCGAAAACGTCGCCCTGGAGGCGCGCATCCGACAGGAGCTATGCGCAGAGTTCGAGCAGCATGTGGTGCAGATCGAGAGGGACTGGCAGTGAGTAGACTGCGCTGACGACGCGCCCACATCGCGGACGAGTTGGTTGCTCCGCTGAACGGTACAGGATGTCAGAACTGGTAGCTGTTCGAGAGCCCTGCATCTTACGGAGTTTGGCGGCTGCTGCCTGCTGGATGTTATGGTTCAATTTAAATCAGTTTAACGACGTGTCTTGTTAGATTTTGTCATGCATGTTATACTGTGTTCGGATGACTACATCACGGCCTCATTGTTGGTTAGATCAGTACCCCACTGACACAGCTGTCTGTGCGCTCCAACCCGCCACCTTATCCGTCCGTACCCCTGACACAGCCTTGTGTGCGCCCCAGGGAGCGGATCCAAGAGACGGAGCGCTACATGGAGAGCCGCGCCGAGATGCAGCTCACCGCCGTGGCCGCCGGAATCAAGGCCGACCTGTCCAGAAAGCGGCGGCGCACCGAGACGCACAGCGACGAAGAAGAGGACGAGGAACTCAAGGATTTCGAACTGGAGGTAAGAAGTAGATCCAACGCCCGGCCTACCGGGTGACTCAGTGCCGGCAGGCCGATGGGTTAGACCAGACGTGAAAATCGCGAATTTCAGAGAACTTTTTTTTCATCATTTTGTGAAAACTCCACCCGTCTTAATGACAAATGATCAATTTAAGCAGCACTTGTTTTCGAGCTTTTAGAAACGATTATGCGCTTTGTCCATCACCAGCCTGAGCAAGTTAAGCAGGAAAATGTTCTCGCTTACCATAGGTATCTAGGTGACCGATGCCTTGTTTCACCATTTACCGACTGCTGTGATGAGTGTCTCGGGTCTGACCTCGCTCCCCGTCTCCAGGAGGCGCGCCAGCAGCTGGCGGCGGCCGAGCAGCGCTGCCAGCTGCTGGAGCAGCAGCTGGAGGCCGTGGAGGCGGACCGGCAGCAGGCGGCTGAGCGGGCCGCCCAGCGCCAGCAGGAGCTCGGCCGGCTGGCCGTACAGCTGGCCGAACAGCGCGACACCGCCCAGCGGTTGGAGCGGGAGCGCGACGAGGCCGAGCAGCGGCACCAGCGGCTGCTGGAGAGCAGCGGCGCCGAGCAGCAGTCGGTGGCCGCCGAGCTCGGCAGGCAGGTCAAACAGCTGCAGGAGGAGCTGCACTTCCGCGAGATGGACCTGCGTGAGCTGCGCGAGTACCTGCAGGAGGGCGGCGACGAGCTGCTGGAGCGCGAGGCCGACACGGAGCGGCTGCAGCGCCAGGTGACGGAGCTGCAGCAGCAGCTGGTGCAGCGCGACGAGGCGCTGCGGGACCAGCAGGCGCTGCACGCCGACCTGGAGCAGCTGCTGGCCAGCCGCTCCCAGCGTGTCGACGAGCTGGAGGCGCGGCTGGAGCGGCGCGCCGCCCCGCCAGCCATCCAGGAGGAGTCCGGCGAGCAGTCGAACCCGGCCGACGCCAGTTTCGGCAGCCGGCTGCGCGCGCTGCGCTCCATGACCGGCGCAGTGCTGCGGCAGGTGACTCGCACTGACGGCGAGCGGCAGCCGTCGCCAGCGCCACCCCAGCCTGCCACCACCAGCCAGCCAGCGCCGCAGACCACCGAGCAGGAGTCGCAAACAGAGAAGGACGCCGCTGCAGCAGCTGCCGACGAGGAGCAGCAGCTGCAGCTGTGCGAAATCCGCGCTCAGGTGGCCGAGCTGCAGTGCACCTCTGACGAGCTGAAGGAGGAGCTTCGTGCCGCTACCGACCGCCTGGACGCCCGGACCGCTGAGTGCGCCGAGCTGCGCAGCAAGTGTGAGGAGCTGGAGCGGTCGGCGGCGGCCGAGATCGAGCCCCTGCGCCAGCAGCTGAGTCGGCTGACGGAGGAGCGGGACCGCGTGGCCGGCGAGGCGCAGCGCGAGCTGGAGGAGCTGCAGCGCCAGTACAAGGAGGCGCTGCACCACCGCTCCGAGGCGGAGGCGGACGCGGCCGTCTGCGAGCGCGAGATGAAGACGCTGCGAGCGCAGTTGGAGCGCGAGCGGCACGGGGACGGCTCGCTGCAGGAGAGACTGCGGGCGGCTGAGGCCGAGGCCACTGTGATTAGAGAGAGTCGCGATCAGGTGAACGAGGCGCTGCGAATCATCAAGGCCGAGCTCGAGGCAAAGAGCGAGGAGCTGCGACAGAACAACGCTGTCGAGCTGCGAGCGCAGCTCGAGCGGTCCAGGGCAGAGACCAGCCACCTCCGCGACGAGATTGAGAAACGCTCCAACGAGCTGCTGAAGCTGAACATCCACCTGGAGGGTCTGAAACGTCAGCTGGTGGAACGCGACGAGGACCTGCAGAAGGCCAGGGACGACCGCTCACGGGCCATGCAGATGTCCGAACAGAACATCCGGCGCAAGAACGAGGAACTCAACCGGGAGCGGAACGAGAGTTTACACCTGCGAGACATGATGGCGCGACTCACACCGCGCTCGTCCTCCACGCTGCAGTCGGAACTGGAGAGCGTGCGGGCCGACTGCCGGCGCAAGGACGACCGCATCGAGCAGCTGGAGGCGCGTCTGCGCCAATCGGAGCTGGCCACGTGCACGCCGACGCCGCGCAGCACCTGCGACCGCTCGCGCTCGGTGCAGATTGTCGAGGAGGAGGAGGAGGGCGGGGTGACACCGATGGTGCTGCGCGGCCGCTCCAGCCGCAGCAGCCGGCGGACCACCTCCCGCGCGCCGCCGCCGCCCGCCGAGACGGACCACTCGGAGACAGAGGGCAGCGAGCACCCCTCGGAGACGGGCACCGGCCGGCGCCGGCGCACCCGGCGCGCCGCCAACGCCGTCCGCTTCACCGACGAGAACGCGGCCGCCTCGGAGGTGTCCGAGTCGGGCTCGACGGCGTCGGGCGCGGGCCGGCCGCGCGAGCCGCTATCGGCGCTCAGTGAGCAGCAGATGACCGCCGTCACCCCGGCCGACCAGCCGGCGCCGCCGCGCACCGTCAAATCGACCGGCACCAAACGCAAACTGTTCAAACGCAGCTCCGACCAGATCATGGAGTGCTCACCAGTCGAGGTAAGGAGGCTTGTACCGGTACATGTAACGTTAGACTGGTGGGACTGAAATGCGATGTGCAACAATGTGGAATATGCACGTCCCTTTTTCAGTGCACGGCAGGGGCGGATCCAGAAAATCTCCAAGGGAGGGGCCATTAGAAACCAGGAGGCCCCCCCCCATAATCCCACCTGTTGGAGGCCCCATCTTCCCACTTGTTGGGCCCCCCCCCCCCCCCCCAAAAAAAACTGCGTCTATTGAGCTTATCTAGCTGTTCAGGCAACATCTCAACATCTGTGCAGGCTTGGAGGCCCTCTGTGCAGGTTAGGAGGCCCTGTAAAAGTGGTCATCTCTGTGAGTATAAGAGACCTCCAAGTTATGAAAAGCTTTACCAATCTTCTAACAAAGAAGTCTTCTCAGCTAGTCTTCTAAGAAATAACTAAGTGGGTAGGTTAAAAAAAAAACTCATCGGATTTCGGCCACTTTATTTTCAGGAGGCCCCCTTTTCAGCTTTTTAACTTTTTAACTTTTTATTTTATTTTTGGAAAAAATCGGCCATGGCCCCCATGCCCCCCCCCCCCCCCTTGTATCCGCGCCTGGTGCACGGTGCTGCTTTCCCGAAGTTAAGTTTCACGCGCTTATTAGTAAATAGTAGTGCTAAATAGTAGCCGGTTATGGAGTGTATTCTGGTTATTATAACGTTACGTATGCATGGATGACAAGATGTACGAACAATTTGCTTTATCCGCCACTTTACGGGATTTTATGGGAAACCAAGTCTTGTTCTCGGTAGATGCTACCAAAAAATCATGCTGGTCCCTGCAGCAGAATTAAATAGACCCGCTTTCAAAATTGTTGTTTAGGGCATCAAAGCCCATGGTAAAATCAGTTACCGTGATGGTTAGTCATGGGTGTCGTTTTATATAGGTCCAAGCATTCCACGCCGTCTGTCGGTCAGCTCAGTGATGTCTGTGTCTTCTGCCCCATTTCAGGTGACGGAGAAGCGTGTGACGCCGCGGACGGTCGTCACACGAAGCCTGCGCTCCAGGAAGAAGTGAAATACTGATAGAGATGGCGCCCCGCCGCGCCGGCTGTGTCGCCTCGAAACACTCGCGCCGCGGCTACCGACAGCAGCGGTCCCACGGTGGTTGACTTAACGTGTTTTGTCTGTGAGCTTGTGTGATTGTCGCATCGCCATCGCGCCCGTCGCGGCCTTCTTTCCAACCTGTCCCCTCTTTAACCAATCGCTGTTGAAAGCCTGGTGAACGCTTTATAACATATAATCGTAATAAACGAGGAAAAAGACTGTTGAATTGTGAGACGTAGTGCCGGTTAGCCGTGTTGTCAATGCGTTGTGGGCCATTAAACCCGCCCTCCTCGAACCGGGGCGCAGAGAGTCGGCAGCTTCAGTCGGGCTCGTCGGGCGGCTGGTATGTGCCACTGCCCGCTACACGGACCACTGCCTAGCGGAAGTCGGTAAGAACGTGCGGTATCACAAGTGTGGCTGGGTTAGCGCCGCCGGACGAGATCTCCGAACCACACACGACGCCGGCAGTAGGCCGATGACACAAACAGCGGCCATTTATTCAGCCTAAAAACGTACAGCACATAGCGGCCATCGAGCCTCCGAGAGTCAGAGTCGTGACCAATCAAAGTTTATCTCGGTCGCGCACGCCCGGCCAGCCATGCACAAATCATGCAACAGTATGGACAATTATACAAACTGACCGGCTTTTACAAGGTACATTTCTTCTCGATAACGCTGATATACTGCGCTGTTGCATGAGTTACGTTCTAGTCACTTGCAGCATTATTGCCAACAGGTTGGTAAAGTCACGGTTCCTTCTAAGCCCCAGCAGATTCACCGCTTCAAGACCGTGTTCGATGTTCTTGAACACCGAAAACCGATAAAGGGTACAAGGGAACGCTGAATGCTATGCTCGAATCCGTCCAAATATCCTATGATCATTATGGTATCATTCGAAATTACACCGAAAACTATTTGAGCTAAAAGAAACTGCAAAAATGATATGCCATTTAAAAGCCATCCGAACGTATAATTTATGTGCGTGGGTGTGGTTGTGTACGCCATGTGCGGGTATAATTGTGTGCGTCAGAGTGTGTGCATACAAATGCTGTGCTAACGTGTGTATGTGTGTACATAAGCGTACGTGCGTGAGTGAACAGTCCAAACGTGATCATGTTTTCGTTCCCGTGAGCAAGGACTGAATATTGTGTGCTGTGTGTTTGTATGTATATGTAATGTTTGAATGCTGGCGCACTCCGGTAAGCTTTAAATGGCAATCTTTCCTGCAGATTAAGCTTAAAATGAAACGACCAGTATTAAAGCGGTCGATTTTTTTCAGAAAAGTGAAAGTAATACCCCCAGAATTTACGGCAAGTAACGTAAACGCGAAAACGATCACCATTTGTCAGTCTAGAGCCTTTGAACTGGCGAAGCGCCCTGGACTGGCGGTCTGGGCTGGGTACGGTGGTTCGCCGCAGTGACTAGAACACTGCAGCTGGCTGACCCGGCTGCGCAGCCGCCCCAGCTCCGAGCGCGAGTCCTGCCGACAGACAGCGGGTCGAGTGTGAGCGACTGGTCGGAGTCCGGAGCGACAGAGCGACCGTACCACAGACAGTCGGTCCATACTAACACAGTGGACATATGGAGAGATGGTCACACTTTATAGCATAAAGGCACATTTGAACAGCTAGAATGAACATCAATTACCTTGTTTACTTAATGCACGAATAAGTCACTGGCCACAAACCAATTCAACGCAAAATGGGCGATACAGATAACTAACACTTGTTTACTTAATGCACTAATAAGCCATGACTGGCCACAAACCAATTCAACGCAAAATGGGCGATACAGATAACTAACACCAAACGACAAATGGACATTTCCGACACATGAGGGACGATTGGAGCATTAATTGGTAGGTGACTAGGGCACGAGACTGCGGTTCTGGTACTCACCCTGTGTTAGGAGCTGGAGCGGTGGCGGCGCGACCGTTTCCGCGACCCAGACCGAGAGCGGCGCGACCGCTTCTTGGCCTGAGAATCCGAGGGTCGCCGTCCTCGAGACGTGGATCGCCGTCCTCGAGACGCGGATCGACGCCCTCGAGATCTAGAGCGACGATCCCGTGAGCGGGATCGACGTTCCCGCGACCTGGAGCGACGGTCCCGTGACCTTGAGCGGCGTTCCCGCGACCTCGAGCGCGACCGGCGCGACCTCTTACGCGCCTTCTTTCTCACTGACTCTGACCCCGAGCGCGAATCGGATCTTGCTCGGGACGACGCGCGTCGGTCCTTTTTGCGCCGCGGGTGCCGCGACTTACTGACTGTCCCAGAGTCCGAGCGGGACCGCGACCGCGACCTCGAATGGTGCGAGCGCCGCCGCGGGGGTGACCCCGACCGGGAGCGACCGCCTTCTTTCCGCGAGCGAGACGATGAGCGGCGCGAGCGTTTTTTGCTGCGCGCCGGCGACGAGCGGTGCGACCGGCGCTCGGACGACTCCGAGCGCCGCGAGCGCCGCTCCCGCTCTCGCTCCTTCTTCTTTTTCTTCTTTTTGCCGGAGGTGCGGCTGCGAGCCGCGGAGCTGGCGGACCCGACACTGTCCGAGGGACTGCGGCGGGAGGCCGGACTGGCCCGGGCAGCCGGCGCCGGATGACGGGTCTCGCCGCCGCCGGCTGCGGTGGTGGCCGGCGGGCTGGCCGGCCGCGCCGGCGGCGGAGGCGGTGGCGGTGGCGGGTGCTTCGGCCTCTGCGGCTCCTCTGTAACACGCCGGTGGGGCAGGGTGCGAGACTGGGGCACGGCACAGATGACCGAGCAAAGCCTCCGGCGCTCCGATCACCACGGCAACCCAAGGGGGAATATATCGACCGAAACTTATACCCTCCCCACACTGAGTTCCCTCCTAGCTAGAACGAAAACGAATCCAGAAGTTCAGAGAAAATTGGCATTATATATGCATTATTTGCAAACACTACAACGAATCTGACGGGTGTGAACTGACTGGGCATATCATGGGGATTAGAGTCATCAGGTCACCTGTTAACAACTGGGTAAAAAATAAGCTTTTAGGTTCGTTGTCCTAGCATAATGTTACAAAATATTCAATTCACAATATGTAAAGAAAAAGCAATGCCGCATTTTTTTTTATATCCGGAGAGGTTCCACCAAGTCCTTTCCCAAGGTACTTACGGTTGTCTTGTTTTCCCAGGCATTATTTCTAACTGACTATTTCTTTAGGAGACACCCAATTCATTCAGAAGAAAGAAGGATTATAAGGAAGTGTACTGTGACAGTATGGGCACTATATGAAATCAGCAACCAGTCTTATAATCATAGGCGGCGGAACGATTTGAGACAAGGGGGGGGGGGCACCATGGCTCAAGGATCCAAACCTAGGGTACCCCCAAATCCTGTTTTCTCATTGGATTTAGGCCACTTATTTTTCGTCACAGCCCTGACACGATGATTTTATCTTTTTTTTTACTTAACGAAAATGGCAGTTCACCCCCGTATACAGGGGTGTAATTTTATATCTCTTTGTGGGGGCATATGCACTCACAATCCTGAATTATGCCCCCACAATGATGAAAATGCACCCACAAGTCTCTTACAAGGCTGCAAGCGTCCTTTCGAGAGCACGGTGCCCTTCGCATGCTCTAACGGCGTCCTCCTGACCGTCTCGCGTTCATGGATAATATAGCGTTTTTAATCACTCGGCGCCCTTCTGGGAGAATGGCGCACTTTTGACAGCACCGCGCCATTCTCATGGTCTAACGGCGCCCTCCTGACCGTCTCGCGTCCTTAGGTCTCTGTTCACGGTGCATCCCTCGACTGTTCGGCGCCCTTCTGGCCTCTCAGCGCCCCCTGAACCACATAGCGTTTTCAATTACTCGGCACCCTTTTACGAGATTGGCGCCCTCTTCATGATCTCAAGGCGCCCTCGTAACCATCTGGCGCCCAAGGGCGGAGCTTCCTATACAGTTGAAGGGGCGGCTGCCCCACCAACTTGGTATTTTTCCCCACCAATAAGTGTTTTGCCCCACCAACTTTAGATGGTTTCCAAGACTTTGTCGCTTTGCAAATCAATCTTTTTCGCATTGAAGAGCTTTGTGTCAGTTTAATGCAAAATATTATATCTGTAATGATAGGCATTGATTCAGTGTGGCATTTTATTCAACTTCATAATCGGGCATTGTGGGTTTGACGACTTTTTGCCCCACCAACTTCCCTGGAAAAGTTCCACGCATGCTGGCGCCCCCACGTCCCCACCAACGTAGCACTACTGACTGTGCGGCGCCCTTCTGGCCTCTTACCGCCCCTGGACCTCATAGCGTTTTCAATCACTCGGCGCCCTGGACTAAGAAAATGGCGCCCTTTTCATCGTCTCACGGCGCCCTCGTAACCGTCTGGCGCCTCCACATTTGGTGCCCCTCCTACTGGATGGCGCCTCTCTACATCTTTTTTACGTCCTTCCGGTCAGTTTCCACTTTTAAGCGTGTATTTGCTTAGTCAGACACGTCACTTGAAGCGCCCTTCGGCTAGCAATGTTATCAAATTCAGTGTTAATTTAGGCTCCCACATAAAGAATATCCATCGCGCCCCAAAACGGCCTGGCGCCGGGCGCCCCTACAGCTGGGCACTCACAATCATTTTAGGAAAATTACACCCCTGCCCGTATGTGTGGTTAACTTTAAGCTGATCCTCAAGTACCTATGTGTTTGTCTCTTCCTTATTGTCGTTTGATAAATTCCATTTATCCTACATGTATCAAATTCCCAAGAAGCCATCGCAGTACTAATCAGTGGCGAATCCCAGGGGGAGGTCACATGGGTCATGACTTAGGGCCTGGGGTCACCGCATGCCTGCCAGGAGCACCACAGGCCTGACAGCCGACAGGGGCACCACAGGCCCGCCAGGGGTACCACAGGCCTAGCAGGGGCACCACGGGCCTGTCAGTGGCACCACAGGCCAATCAGGAGCACCATCGGCCTAGCAAAAGCACTACAGGTCTTCCAGGGGCACCACAGAGCTGCCAGGGGCATCAGAGGCCTGCCAGGGGCACTATCGGCTTCGCAGGGGAACCACCGGCCTCGCAAGGGCACTATCGGCTTCGCAGGGGAACCACCGGCCTCGCAAGGGCACCATAGGCCTGTCAAGGGCACCACAAGCCTGTCGCTGGCACTTTAGGATTGTCAGGGGCGCCACAAACCTGTCAAGGGCACCTGCGTTCTAACAGGGGCACCACGGGCTCGCCAGGGGCACCACAGACCTGCCAAGGCCCAGGGACACCACAGGCCTAGCAAGGACACCACAGGCCTGTCAGGGGCACCACGGGCCTGTCAGGGGCCATGGGCACCTAAGTCATGTCAGGGCCCACCGTAGGCTTGTCAGGGGGCAGGGTAGGTAGGTACCACAGTTTTTCCAGGGGCACCAGCGGCCTAGCAGGGACACCAGTCATCACATGACTAACCAAAAATAAAGGAAAAAAAAACTGAAAATAGGGCACCACCAAAATTAAGTGGGCGAAATCCGTTGAGGTTTTAATTTTGGGTACAAGTAGGGGCACCACTTCGATTCATGACCCTCCCTCTGGAGTTTTCCCGAATCCGCCCCTGGTACTAATACTCGTACATCAAATTTAGGGGGGGCACCTTGCTATTGGTGCCCCCCTTGCAGAATTCAAGGGGGCACGGTGCCCCGGTGCCCCCCCCCCCGTTCCGCCGCCTATGCTTATAATCTCTGGGAACTAATTTGGTTATAAATGGATTGAACTGGCCCTTAGTCAATAAACCATTTTTTCTTCATAAAAAACAAAAGAACATTTAACCCACCAGCCGCACCTCAACATATTTCTATGTTGTTTTTTTCAGAAACACTTCTCAGGAATTTTCATGACCTTGGGTAAACAGACAGGGTAGAGGGAGGGGCGGTACCCCGATGTCTGCAGGAGCACCATGACTGGAGCCTTAGGACACGTCAGTACATACTGCAGGTCACTTGTTTAGTCAGCGTCAAATGACCAATTTGTTTGAGTTGTCGTAAACAAACTTACAAATGAGCTATAGCAGCACAACTTTAACAATTCAAAACTTAAAAAGCTCTAGAGTACGTTTTATATAGAATTATGAAACCTTAAGTACAAAGGAAGCTGTCAGTAATTCATTACGCAATGCGCCGTGAAGGGAGTTTGGTCGCCGCCTGCGCCATGCCAGTGGAGGTTGGTGTCGGTGGTTGTGGCGATGTGGCGCTGCCCGCCGCGCCGCGAGGTCGCTCACCGTGCACTGCGCTGCGCTCCCCGCCCCTGCCCTGCTCCTGCTCCTCGTCCTGCTGCTCCGTCTGCAGGCGAGCCATGATCTCCCGCTCGCGGACGGCGAACTCCTGGCGCCGCCGGCGGATGGCCGCCTCCAGCTCGGCGTCGCTGTCCGAGTCGTCCCCGCTGCCGTCGGCGCGCCGCGGCTGCTTAGAGTTGTCCCCGGAGTCGGAGTCGGACTCGGAGTCGGACGAGCCGCTGCCGTACATTGCCAGGCCGAGTCCTGGCCGGCCGACGGCACGGTCAGCGCTGGTCAGCACACTCGCCGAGAGAGCGCGGCACAGAGGGCCCGATACTGGGCATACAGATATAGCACGGGAGTAGCTACACTACGCCAACATAGAACAGAAAGGCAGCACCGTAAGAAGGTAGTATTTAATAGCTGCTTTACAGAATGAGGCATTTCAAACGGGCTACATTTATCTCGCCACTTATCTCGAACTGACGATTGGAAACACGAATTTATTACCAGGAAAAAAATCGAGGCATTGACCGAAGAGAATGTTTGTAGAAAACCAGTTTCTGATACACAAAATACGAGCGAAAATCGCCCCGAAGGTCGGGCGCTGTTACTTACCAAGCGGTCGGCTTACAGTGGGCACAGCTTGGACTCGCTTCTGCGGCGCTTTACCGTGAGAGCGACAAGTCAGGTGGATGTGAAGACACACAACCGTGCGCCCGTCGAGCTCGGGTGGGGGGTCTGGGCGGGAGGGCAGGGGCAGGGGAGGGTGGGGCGGGGCGCTGGGACCGCTGTAATACACTGAACGGACATCATGGCGACACCAGCGTCCGAGACGAGCGCACAGGTAACGCTCTATTCTCCCCTCTCAGCCCCAACTGACCTAATGAGAGCACTCAGCCTGACTTATCCGGCCCACTACCTTACATACCACCGCAACACTACAGCTGCGGCACACAACCATCTATTGTAAACCCTTGACACACAAGACTCAGTCAGAGCCATCAGCCCGCGCCCGGCGCTCTGAGCGCTGTGGGCGGTGCCGGGCGGCGCGGCGGTTCCATCCCGACCCGCGCCAGTCTCCAGCCGGCGCGCGACCCCGGGTCGCCGACTGGCCATACCTTTGTCGCGCTGTCGCTGTAATACCTCCTCGGCCAGATCTCTCATCTCTGATCCGGTGACGTCGAGCAGGAGCTCCGTCAGGAACCGGCGCACCAGCGCCACCTGGGGCGGCGCGGAAACGAAACGTGTCAAGGGCGGCCACAACCATACCATCATTGTGAAATATAGGTACGGTATTGGGCGTCCAAAGCGCAGGTCTTCAGTAAAAGAGAGAAAGAGTTGTGGTGCACAAACTGTAACTGTATTTACAAAAACCATTTAACCAAAAACCAGGCTGACTCGCATTTAGTCAGCCTGGCCGGTATGTGCTTTGCCAGTTCTCCCCAGGTTGGTAAAACTAGATCTAGCTCACCGACGCCACGTCCTATTTCAACATCAGAATTGCTGATGCTAGTTGCTCTCCCCTGAACTGACCGTGACCTGCTGCCGCTCCTCGGGCGTCATGAGCAGCAGGGTGGCCGCCGGCGACTCGGGCTCCGGTTCCGGCCTGGCGCGGCGGCCGGCGCCGCTCGCATCCGGCGGCGGCTCGGGCGCGGGCGGACTCGGCTCCCGCTGGTCACCGTCCTCCTCAGCGTCCCGCTCGCCGTCCGAGGCAGAGTCCTCGCTGCTCGAGTCCTGCGCGGAATGAACACATATGTAAAGCAGTGCCGCCTCATACAACCACCCGCTCTTGAAACTACCATAGTATATCAAGCAATATCAGCCACTAAAATGTCCGGACAATTGCCTCGGGACACTCACAAATTTGCTCTTGTCGGGTCGCAGTGGGTCAGCGGGCGCCAGTGCCTCCTGCTCGCGTCGACTCCTGAGCAGCTGGTCCCGCGCCTGGCGCGCCGTCTCGCGCTCCGTGGCCTTCCGCTTGTCCTCCTCCATCTTCTCAAGACCCTGTCGAATCCACAGCGGCAGCGTGCGCCGCTTGGCCGCATCTGCAAACAAACATATCCCAACCGGTCGTATTAGGAGGGAAGTATGCTGCGAAGTAGCTGCTAAGAGCCACACATTTATCACGCGATTAATTATTTTGCCTTCTTCTTCACGCAGTTAGATGGAAACGGTTAACGAAACAGTCGGAGGGTATATAAAACTGTCTTGGTAAAAGTTCAAGAGTTTAACACCGTCATGGCAGCAATCGGAGGGTATACAATCAATCCTGTTCGGTAGCAGTCGAAACTCGGAGAAAGGGCTGCACAAAAGGTACTGACCAAGACTGACTGGGTGGACGACGTCGCCGCCGTTGCTCTGCTCCGGGCCAACCCCCTGCTGGGCCTTTAGGAAGGGCGGCGGTCTCTCGGAGTCGGTCCAGTAGCCTTGGTACTGCAGAGAGCAAGGGATAATGTCAGCACTCAGCGGTCAGCCGCCCGGTGCGCTTGATGTCAATTCTCCCCCACAGTAGAACACCAAGCACTGTCCAATGTCACCCGCTAGCGAACTGACGTACCGGTCGTCGCTGCTGGGCGCCGTGGTTGTACTCGACGGCCGCCTGGTCGTCGCCGCCGGCGGCCGCCACCGGCTGCTGCTGCCCCTGCTGCTGCTGCTGCTGCCAGTTCCAGCCGGCGGTGGACTGCGACCAGTCCCAGCCCCAGCCGGTAGTGGTAGCGTCCGCCGGAAACTCGGCTCCCATGGCGAGATGCTGCAGCGCCGCCGCGGCACCGGCGGCCGCCGGCTGACGCTGCAGCGCTGTCGGGTCTCCGTCCACCGCCCCTGTCGACCACAGAGCGCCCCGTGACACGTCCGTACGCGAGGCGGCTACAATCTCTACGTCCCAGCCCTAGTCTGAGCTGAGCACACACCGATGCCAGTCTGGTATATCGAACACTAACCTGGCAGTGTGACTGTCTCCTCCTTGCCGCCGTCATCCAGCTCCATGTCCGCCTCGCCACCACCGCCGCCGGCGTCCGAGGGGACTGACGGCGGCCCAACGCCACCGTCGGGCGCCGCCGCCGGCTGGTCCTTCATCTGGATCCATTGCTGCGCTAGCTGGGCCCAGTCCACTGCCGACATGCATGGGAGACTGTTAACATCACATGGCCACATCATATCTTGCAATTAAAGATGGCCATTGACTGTCACAGAGAGGCAGGCATGTAAAATTAATTTTAATGTATAACAAATTTGTTATGAACAGTACATCAAAATCTCCCAGCAAGGGATAATTAAGAACAAAGAAGAATTAACAGCAGCTAGGTTATGAACAGTACATCAAAATCTCCCAGCAAGGGATAATTAAGAACAAAGAAGAATTAAAGGAAATAGTTCACTTTTAACATGGGGTTTTGAGCTGGAATAGCAGTTTCGTAGCTTGAGCTGAGACTAGCACAAATCAAGAGCTTTTACGGCTCAACGATCACCCTAGACGAAGATATTCCATTTCTCGTTCCGAAAAGAGTGCCTTGTAGAGGAATGCGTGCCTTGCACAGGAATACAGCCACGTCATCGTCAGCCAATCAGCGTGCTGCTTACAGCCAATGCAGTATGCGTAGGTTTGAGCTACGCAATATGATTGGTCAATGCGTAATAAGCTTCCGCGTCAAACATTATTTTACATAGAATATAGGGTATATGTCAAGTTTAGGTCCTAACTACAATTGTGACGCTGTTGATACAAATATGAAACAGCAAAAATTTTAGGTTTAGGTTAGGTTAGGCTGTAGGTTTGTAGGTTTTAGGTTGTAGGTAGGTAGGTTTGTAGGTTAGGTTAGGTTAGGGTAGGTTTGTAGGTTGTAGGTTGGTAGGTTATAGGTAAGTAGGTAAGGTTAGGTCAGGTTTGATTATGTTTTTTTCTTTTATTTGCGAGACATATGAGTATCATTTTTGGATTCAGGATGTCAAATAATGTAAAAATATGAAAAATTTATCAATGAAATCTTCTTAGGACTTTAACTTGACATTTACCGAATATAGTTCGTCCTATATTGAAATATAGAAAATAATTGTTTTTACAAAAAGGTTTTATTTTATTTCATGATTATTTTGAGCATAAAAAATCATAAATCAATAGCAAAATACTGATTTCAGGAAAGTGGACTGTTTCCTTTAACAGCAGCTAGTCTTACACACCAATGCACACCATACCTGACCATCTGAACAAAGCTATTCAGCTATAAGGGCATTGGGTTTGTGTTCTACAGTGCATTGCATAAGCAGTGGACTACCATGATTGTTGATAAAATCAATATAATGCTTCAGAGGAAACAATTATAACAAATAGATGAAGAGCAAGAAACAATTGATGACAAAACAGTCAACAACTTCCAGATCAAGCTACCTCAAAGCAGCATTACAGGTGGTTGACAACAACTTCAACTTTGTGAGGTTAAGGAGAGATGCTATTTCTTACCCTCATCTGTGTTGTAATTCTGATAGGTGGATTGCTGAAATGCCCAGTTGGCATTCCAGCTTTGACTGCCACCATCAGGACCAGACCACATCTGTGAATATCACAGAGTAGCAAGCATCATTCACATCCATACACACCCAGAGCTATGAATCATTGGCAGTAAAGAGCTGAGCTACCTAAAGACTTCGGTAAATATTTACTTTAGGTCCGCAATATTATTTTAAAAAGAAAAAATGCACATTCTTACACTTTTTGATGTCCTGAATTCAGATATGATGCTTAAATGCATCAAAAATGTAAAATAAGATACTAAAACCTCAGCACATTACACCGCACTGCTGCACAATACACACTGAAGAAAGCACGCTTCCGCGACAAAAACGAAACATACAACGCTGCCCTATAAAAGAAAAATGATGCGGATATTCATTAGCTTTCGACGTTATGAAAATGACGTCATAATACCAAAGCACAAGAAAAACGGTGAATAAAAAAGAGAAAATATTTAGCAAAGGTAATAGAGCATGAGAAAATGATCAGAACATAACCAAACCTTACCTAACCTGACCTACTGATGTTTGCCTACTGGGGGAAAAGGAAAAAGTGACTTGCATGAATAGATTGCAAGCAATGGTAAGTCAAATATTTTTAGGTTAAGTGGTTATGCATCAGGCTTCAGGCCTTCAGCCTGAAGCCAGATACACAACCACTTAACCTAAAAATATTTGACTTACCATTGCCTGTAATCTCTCCTAAGGCATTGCCTTCGGCACTGCACCGCTCCGCCTCGATTATTTTGACGTCACTTTCGTTACAATTTATTATCATCCGTAATTTCGCTCAACCTTGGTTGGACCATTTGTAGCGGGTGCGCCGCGCAGACACGTGCAGTTCCGGTCGGAGGTGGGGCCGTTGGTGGTGATACTGGTGATACTAGTGTACTGGTGCTTTTAAATTGGTTTCTAGAAGGAATAAGTATCAGAAATGAAATCAGGAGGTCTTAGAGTATCGTGTGAATGACTTTTATTTACCCCTCTGTTTTGCGGACCTAAAGTAAATAAATACCAAGTCTTCAATAGTCTGTTACCTATTATGACTTACAGGCTTACAGCCAGGGTTGTAATTGCCATTTTCTCTCCAGGTTAACAAAAAATGAGCAGAAAAGCATTCACCTTAGAAGCTAAATAACTAGGTACAGGTTTTCAATACACATGCTAAAAAAGCAACAAAAATCCAGTCACCAAAGGACACATTTAAGTGCAAAAGCCCTTTGGACCAGCTAGGGCCACAATCACACCTTAGTTCCAACAGAAGCACAAATTTAATCATTTGCCCATAATATCCTGATATCAGAGATTTTGGCCTTAACCCCATGTATTTGAATAGGCTCTCGCAAGTGATTTCCTGGCTGCGGAACGAGTCTGTTCCAGGCTTCAGTGCTTCAATCAAAGTGCCTCTGTATGTGTACTGGTACTGTCAGGTGTTATGTAAATGTTAGAAAAATGTAAGTTCAGATCAGGTAAGGATCAGTAAGGTTTGATAGATTTTCTCATAACATATTTTCACAGTATTTGGTGCTTCCATTACAATTAACGCGATTCCATGACGGATTTTCGTCCAGCAGATTTTCGTCGGACAATTTTTCGTCCGCAGATTTTCGTCCGACTTTTTTTCGTCTCGCATTTTTTCGTCTGTACATTTTTTCGTCTGTGCATTTTTTCGTCTGTACATTTTTTCGTCTGTACATTTTTTCGTCCGGACATTTTTTCGTTCGTATATTTTTTCGTTTGTGCGTTTTTTCGTCCGGACATTTTTTCGTCTACAATTTCAACGTAACCTAACCTAACCTAACCTAACCTTACCTAACCTTACCTACTGATGTTTGCCTACCGGGGGATAAGGAAAAAGTTACTTGCATGAATAGATTGCAAGCAATGGTAAGTCAAATATTTTTAGGTTAAGTGGTTATGCATCAGGCTTCAGGCCTTCGGCCTGAAGCCAGATACACAACCACTTAACCTAAAAATATTTGACTTACCATTGCCTGTAATCTCTCCTAAGGCATTGCCTTCGGCACTGCACTGCTTCGCCCCGAGTATTATTATGACGTCATTTGCCTCACAGTTGAATAGCATTGTAGTACCTATGTTTTCACTCAACCTTGGGTGCACAGACGCAAAATTTATTGAACGAAAAAATGTCCGGACGAAAATATGTACAGACGAAAAAATATACGAACGAAAAAATGTCCGGACGAAAAAATGTACAGACGAAAAAATGTACAGACGAAAAAATGCACAGACGAAAAAATGTACAGACGAAAAAATGCGAGACGAAAAAAAGTCGGACGAAATTCTGCGGACGAAAAACTGTCCGACGAAAAAATGTCAGACGAAATTTTGTCCGGACACGCAATTAACGCAGATCAGGCATTTGCATCATTTTTATATGAAAAACATTTGATATTAAATCCTAGCCCCAATTTTAGCACTTTGAGCTTTTGATACAATCACCATTTTAATAGTTTTAATTTGAAACATACCTTAATAGCCAGTATTCACCAAATATTGGCTTATTTCATTTCTCTTGTCCCATACTCCACCAACGGGCGCACACGCCGCCGCATACGCCGCCGCGCCGCTTGTTGCCGCTTGTCGACTGATGGCCAAGGTTTCGGCAAATTATATGTTGTGTATTATTTAACTTTGTCTAATACTTGTGCTCATGACGTCATCAATACAGCCAAAGATTCGCTACAATTGATCACGGTGACTATACATTTGATGAATAGTAGGTATGGTATCTCATATCTGTAATTTCAATTTAAAATCATAAATAGCACCATCGTGTTCCTAAGCTCAAACTGCATCCGATAGATATCTGACTTGTAAGACGGCAGCCAGAGCCCAAAATGTGGTCAACAAGCCAAACATCGATAATTTTTACTTTGACCTGACCTGTGACGTCATCGGTGACCTCGAGTTTAATGAAACTAGGTTAGGCTCGACAGTTTACTGGGGCTATCAGATGCCGTTTGAATTTTGACGACCGGCCCGACCGGCCCGGTAGTTTCGGAGTTAGGAGGGGGCTATGGAGGCTCTCGGAGTTATGGAGCCCCCCCCCCCCCACAGTAGGGCGCGTTATACACAGATCCCAGTGGGGCGCTGAATAAAAGGAAATCACCCCTACAAGGCACACGCCACACATTCCTCAGCAAGGCAACTTTTTTTTGGACGAGAATTGGTGCATATACATAGGGTAATCGTTGGGCCGTAAGAGCTCCTGATTTGTGCTTGTGTCAGCTCAAGCTCGGAACTGCTATTCCAGTTCAAAACCCCATGTCAAAACTAAAGTGAACTATTTCTTAAGGGTCTAGTCCATTTAACTCCCATAACGCTGTTGGCATTGTGTGCTCCATTATTCGATGTTGGCTATTCATCGGCCAGCCGTCTCTCGCGCAAGAGAGGGCTCTCGCGCCGAGACTCGAGAGGTTTCTTATTTAGATGGCTGGCTGGCGGGTACATGTCAACAATTTTGAGACGAATGACTTCGGATTGCGGGCCTCAACCATACGTTTCATTGAATAGGTATGAATTCAGAAACTTTGGAAAACAAAACTCTGATAATCAGGGCTGCGGAGTCGGAGTCGGAGTTGGAGTCGGTCGGAGTCGACAGTTCTGCTCGGAGTCGGCGTCGGAGTCGGAGTCGCCAAAATCTTACCGACTGCGACTCCGGAGTCGGAGTTAACGCTGCATGTCTCAACTTCATGCACTGCACCTGTCTTATTGACGATACTGCGCTCGAAATGGGATTTTGTCGAAAAAAGACCTGCCGCTGATTCCGAATATCGTATTCATTTCAAATTTCAAGGTCATCTTCAAGGTCAAATCACGGATTGAAATTGAGTCCCCGATTTTTCCTACACCGATCGTCTGATCCGATTTCTGATGGTCAAATTCAATAGGTAGGGTCAGAATCTCGAGTTCGCTAATATATACCTTATTAAAAATATTTGACCTTAAAGGTCAAATCACGGATTGAAATTTTGAGTCCCCAATTTTTTCTACACCGATCGTCTGATCCGATTTCTGATGGTCGCATTCGATAGCTAGGGTCAGAATCTCGAGTTCCCTAATATATACCTTATTAAAAATATTTGACCTTAAAGGTCAAATCACGGATTGAAATTTTGAGTCCTCGATTTTTTCTGCACCAATCGTCCGATCCGATTTCTGATGGTCAAATTCGATAGGTAGGGTCAGAATCTCGAGTTCCCTAATATATACCTTATTAAAAATATTTGACCTTAAAGGTCAAATCACGGATATTTGACCTTAAAGGTCACATCACGGATTGAAATTTTGAGTCCCCCGATTTTTTCTACACCGATCGTCCGATCCGATTTCTGATGGTCGCATCAGAAATCGGATCGCATTCTGACCCTAGCTATCGAATGCGACCATCAGAAATCGGATCGGACGATCGGTGTAGAAAAAATTGGGGGACTCAAAATTTCAATCCGTGATTTGACCTTTAAGGTCAAATATTTTTAAAAAGGTATATATCAGGGAACTCGAGATTCTTACCCTAGCTATCGAATGCGACCATCAGAAATCGGATCGGACGATCGGTGTAGAAAAAATTGGGGGACTCAAAATTTAAATCCGTGATTTGACCTTTAAGGTCAAATATATTTAATAAGGTAAAGTTAAAAATATTTAATATTTAATAATAAGGATCAGATTGATTTGACCTTTGAGGTCAAATATTTTTAATAAGCTATATATTAGGGAACTCGAGATTCTGACCCTAGCTATCGAATGCGACCATCAAAAATCGGATCGGACGATCGGTGTAGAAAAAATTGGGGGACTCAAAATTTCAATCCGTGATTTCACCTTAAAGGTCAAATATTTTTAATAAGGTATATATAAGGCAACTCGAGATTCTGACCCTAGCTATCGAATGCGACCATCAGAAATCGGATCGGACGATCGGCGTAGAAAAAATCGGGGACTCAAAATTTCAATCCGTTATTTGACCTTTAAGGTCAAATATTTTTAATAAGGTATATATTAGGGAACTCGAGATTCTGACACTAGCTATCGAATGCGCCCATCAGAAATCGGATGGGACGATCGGTGTAGAAAAAATCGGGGAACTCAAAATTTCAATCCGTGATTTGACCTTTAACCCGCGCCCGGCTGGGGGTTCTGGATTTCCACGCCCTGCTGGGGGGGGGTGTTTGAACACCCCCCCTTCTAACTCGGCTCCTGGGCCACGTAGCGATACGCGGAAGGCGGCGTTCGAAAGAGCGTCAAAAATAATGAGGAAATCACTTCGGTCTATTTTTTGGTCAGGTCAAAGGTCAGGTCACCAGAGGTCATTGAAGGCAAAATTTCGCCGATTTCCAGGTCGAATGTCGAAAATTTCCAAGAAGCCAACGCATAACTCGGGAACCAATAGAGCTACAGCGCCGCGGAAAAGCGCATTCGATAGCCCTATTAACGCCCTTTCTGAGCAATTCTCTCAGATTTGACCTAACGTCAACGGTTTTGCCTGCAGGGGGGAAAACTTGCAAAAATAGCCGATTTTTTCGGAAACAGTTTTTCTGCAATAACTTTTGACCCAAGCATTGTACGAGCTTACTTTTACCGGCATCGTGTTCCTCTTGTCAAGACGCATCGAATGAACTATAACTTGACCTTGAAAGGTCAACTTGAAAATTTGACCTCAGGTCAAGGTCATGACCTGACCGGAAAGGGTCATGTTGCATATCAGTCGATCCGTATCGTCGAGCTGAACACATCTAAGGCGTTTTCATCGCTCTGGCATGCCTCTATCAAAAGTTATTTGCGAAAAACTGTTAGATACCATTCGTGACCTAAGATGACCTCAGGGCATAAACAGGGGTCACGGACACCATTTTCATGTTCAGTGTGTCTAAACCACTTGTAATTCAGTGTTTGGGAGTGTTTATAATGTATTCCGTCCAAAAGAGGCGCATTTCAGTTTTCTCCCATTGACTTATAATGGGGAGGTCGCAAAATTGACCTGACCTTAGGTCATCGATATCAAAATTCTGAGATATACATTTTGTACATGTTATTGCTCATAGCAATCGCTGAAAGTTTCAAAGCGATCGGTCACTCGGTGTAGCTATGACAGACATTGAAACTTTTTATGAGGTGAGGTCACTTCAAGTGACCTGGTGACCTGACCTTGAATGACCTTGGTCTGAAATTTTCACAACATGTGTAGAATTGATGTATGATAAGGTGTTTCAAAAACGGCGGCGCTCCGCGCCGCCGTTTTTGAGATATTTGCGAAAAACCACAAAGAGGGGGTGTTCAAACACCCCCCCCAGCAGGGCGCGGGTTAAGGTCAAATATCCGTGATTTGACCTTAAGGTCAAATATTTCTAATAAGGTATATATTAGGGAACTCGAGATTCTTACCCTAGCTATCGAATGCGACCATCAGAAATCGGATCGGACGATCGGTGTAGAATAAATTGGGGGACTCAAAATTTCAATCCGTGATTTCACCTTTAAGGTCAAATATATTTAATAAGGTAAAGGTAAATATATTTAATATTTGATAATAAGGATCCGATTGATTTGACCTTTGAGGTCAAATATTTTTAATAAGCTATATATTAGGGAACTCGAGATTCTGACCCTAGCTATCGAATGCGACCATCAGAAATCGGATCGGACGATCGGTGTAGAAAAAATTGGGGGACTGAAAATTTCTATCCGTGATTTGACCTTAAAGGTCAAATATTTTTAATAAGGTATATATTAGGGAACTCGAGATTCTGACCCTAGCTGTCGAATGCGACCATCAGAAATCGGATCGGACGATCGGTGCAGAAAAAATTGGGGACTCAAAATTCCAATCCGTGATTTGACCTTTAAGGTCAAATATTTTTAATAAGGTATATATTAGGGAACTCGAGATTCTGACCCTAGCTATCGAATGTGACCATCAGAAATCGGATCGGACGATCGGTGTAGAAAAAATTGGGGACTCAAAATTTCAATCCGTGATTTGACCTTTAAGGTCAAATATTTTTAATAAGGTTTATATTAGGGAACTTGAGATTCTGACCCTAGCTATCGAATGCGACCATCAGAAATCGGATCGGACGATCGGTGTAGAAAAAATTTGGGGACTCAAAATTTCAATCCGTTATTTGACCTTTAAGGTCAAATATTTTTAATAAGGTATATATTAGGGAACTCGAGATTCTGACCCTAGCTATCGAATGCGATCATCAGAACTGGGATCGGACGATCGGTGTAGAAAAAATTGGGGACTCAAAATTTCAATCCGTGATTTGACCTTTAAGGTCAAATATTTTTAATGAGGTATATATTAGGGAATTCGAGATTCTGACCCTAGCTATCGAATGCGACCTTCAGAAATCGGATCGGACGATCCGTGTAGGAAAAATCGGGGACTCAATTTCAATCCGTGATTTGACCTTGAAGATGACCTTGAAATTTGAAATGAATACAATATTCGGAATCAGCGTCCCAAACTGCATCGGATAGGTTGGGTTTAGTTGAAATTCGGACTCGACGCTGAATCCGTCGCGGAATACGACGCTAACTTCACGTACGTTCCGTTATGAACTTCAATATCATGATATGG